AAAAAATTATTTTTATTTTTTTTTTGTTCAGGGAAAGAATTTTTCTTGTGTCAAGGAATTAGTTTAAAATTTCCCCTTTTTACTAGCAGTTTTTAAACATCTTAAGGTCATATTTTTCAATGACATTATTGTTCACCATTTTAATTTTTTTTATTTATATTTTATTTTTATTTATTTATTTTTATTTATTTTTTTAATGTAAATTCTTCCCTGCACCCAATGTTCATTTTCTTATTTCATCATGTTCAATATGTCATTAAATTTATTTAAAATGAAGACAATTTCAAATTAAGGATGAATGCATAGCACAAGAGAAAATTAAGCTTCTGTGACGAGTAAATGCAATAATTAAATAATTAAATTAAATAGCTGAATTATTTCAACATTTTTCTATAAATCTGTCAAAATAAAACTTCATAATTACAGCATTTGATGATCTCTAGCAGAATACTTCAACCAGGGCTGGCAAAAATTGTCCGCTCTTTTAGTGCTAGTATCTTGCAACAACACAGGCATATTCTGAGCATTTTTTTTTCTTTTTTTTTTTTTTTTTTTCTTTTTTGACTACCAAGCTTTTCTGGTGCACAAACCTTAACTTTTAACTGTATTAAAAAAAAAAAACTATTGGAAACATTTTTTTAGTCAATATTATTAGTAATAATAATATTTATAATATATTTAGGCTCTGTTGACTTTACCATTGAGTATTCTGTTTATTTTATATTTTAAGTGTCGGCCTTTATTCTCACACACACACACACACACAATACTTGCTCTTACTTTAAATTTTTGTCCATGTTCATTAGGTATTAATTTTTGGCTGTGTTGACTCTTCATTAGTACCATGGGGTATTTGAACACCCAATAAAATGTTTTCCCTTAATATTTAGCAAGTGGCAAATCAAATTTTTGATTAGTCAAGTAGCTTTCTGAATCCCTCTGTCGCATTACTACAAGGAGTTTTTGGTTTTAATCATATTTTTGTGAATTATAAGCAGTTTTGTTGGCCTACTTAAAATGAAATGAAACCTATTTTTGTATATTTAAACTTTTGAAACTTCCAGATTCATTTTTTTAATATTGGCCTTTTTAATTCATTTTTTTTTTTTTTTTTCAAAATTTAAATTTTTTATTTATCCAGAAAGGACATTCAAGGCAGTATATATATATATATATATATATATATATATATATATATATATATATATATATATATAACAAACTAAATGATGTATCTATATTTTAAATGAAGCGTTTGAAAATCCACATGGTACTAATGCTGTAACAATGCCACCACAGCAAAAAAAATTTCTTAAATTAAGATAAAATTATATTTTTTTTTTTTTTTTTTTTAAATATTTTTAACATTTTTTTTTTTTTTTTAAGTGCAAGTCAACAACCAACAATATTATTTATTAAATAAAAATAAAATTTAGAAAAGTGAAAAAAAATTTTAAAAAAATCTTGAAGCGATTTACATTGTTTGGACTGATGTCCTCAGCTTTGTCATATTCACATTTCAACTGTTGTACACTCTGTCCAAAATGTCATGAATATGGCAATAAAGATGAAGACAACTGTCTGAATAATGTAAATAATTACAGTACCTCATCTCAGAAATATAGACACTTAGAAATTCTAAGTTAATCTTTTCTATCATTATTATTTTTTTATTTAGCCATGACACTGTATTGCAAATCTTATCAAGATCATGCAAGATAATAGCAGCCTGTTTGGACAAAATTCAGTCCTTTTTTACGCTCACCAAGGTGATAAGGCTGGAGTGACCTCTCCAGGGTGCAAGCCTAGGCGACCATATAAGGAGGCCGTGTGCTGCCAATTCCACATGCCATCCCCTTCTTGGTCATACTGACATAATCCAAAGCAATACAGGGCATTATATTTGCGGGATGGCTTGGCTGCAGGAGTTGCCAGAAGGTTGTCGGTGTTGACAGCCAAACACCCTTCAGGGCTCCACTCCAGGTTTTCCATCTGGATTTATTTCTATAAATGTTTCCATGTTTGGATATGTCTGCAAGACAATCCATTATACAGTCAGATTCTTTACTCCCCACCCTTGTATAAACAAAAAGAAAAATATATATCATTCATAAAAAAAACCTCCACAATTGTTAGATGATGATCATTGTGTGATTTTAAAAAAAAAAAAAAAAAAAAATTAAGCACAAAAATGTTTCTCACAAAAATTTGTCACTTATCTAAAAATGCCTCCTGGCATTAATTTAGAATTTTTTTTTTTTTGTGTATGAAAGAAAAAAATTCAGAATTAAGGGCATAGATGATCTTCTGACAATTTTTTTTTCTTTTTCAATTTTATGATCTCTAGCAGAATTCTTTGATTTTTAGTGCTAGAATCTTACAGAACCCAAGGCAGACAGTAAAGCCACTAAGACACAAGGGGTTACTGAGTGTGAAAAAAAAGAAAAACATTAAGGAGTGAGAACAATAAGAGGAATCAAGGAAGCAATAGATTATGATTGACATTGCATTTAAATTTTTGAAGATCAATGTTGGATGGAAAAGAGTTCCACAAGCGAGAAGTGCAACATAAACTTTTTATTTTTTTTATGCAATCAATTTTTTTTTTACTTTCATGTTTATTAATTTTTTAATACCTGTTTTTTTTATTGTTCTCTCTGTGTTTTTTTCTTCTCATCCTGGAGAATACCAGGTGTTGTTAGCTTGGATGTGTGGTTGGTGTAATGGATAATGGCTCAGAATTGTCAATCAGAGAGCAGTGTTCCAATTCCTGTTGGGTTCGTTATATTCACTTAAGCACAAATACCCTAGCTATGGGTTAATTAGTAAGACTTGTATCACTATTATCTACCAAAAACAAAAAAATATTTTCTGGCTTTAAATAACTTGCAAAAGGTTGATAAGCCTTAGAAAATGAATCCACCAACATTCTTCTCACTCTTTCACACTCAGTAACCCTTTGCATCTTAGTGGCTTCATTACCTTCCTTGATTTGAAATGATTAAAAATAAAAAAAAAATTTCTAGACCGGTGTGTCATGACACGGTAGTTTGTTATTTCTTTATTTACTAAATTTTTCAATGAATTATTTACTTTTTGTTTCTTAATTATTTATGTTTTTTTAAAATTTTTTTTAAAATGTTTTGGATTATATTTTTACAAACTTTTTTAATTGCTGTCATAAAATTACTTGTAACTCTATCTGGTGTAGCCTCACTTTTTCTTCCTAAATTGTTGTGTAAAGTGAAGGTTAAAAACAAGTCTCATCAAATTTTCTGATACTAGAAAAAGCGAAACAATATTGGCTAAATTGGAGCTTTTAAAATTGGTAAATTGTGATTACCATTATGTGACGAACTGCTTGTTCATTCCTTGAAATAAAATTTTTATATACATTTTGAAATGTATATTAGACTTGGCTAAGAAAACTTAATGTCACCAAAAATGTTGTTTCTAAAAAGTGGCATCAAAGTTGAAAGTCTGGAAAAAGCTCTGATTTAGGGGGGTGGGGAGTTAACATTTTAGCCTTTTTAGAATCTAAAAGAAAGGTCATTCATTTTTTTTTTTTTTTTTTTAAAACAAAAAAAAACTCTGGCTTCTTTCTTGTTGTCCTTATATTTGGGTTCTTCATAATAAATTCTAACCATAATTGATTCACAAAGAAATCTGGGGGGACTGACTCTGGGAGGAGATGAGGTTCATTATCTGGCACCTAATGTATCCCGAAAAGGGGTTAGTGCTGAGTGGGTTTGAGTAATTTTTGTCCCTGGTTCAGTAAGCATAAGTTCTGACTATATACTCTTTATGTTTCAAATTAAAAGGCCACGGTGGATTTTTTTTTTTTTTTTTTTTTTTAATTTAAAAAATTTTTTTTTTTCCACCTCATCTCTGGGTTCCTCATAAATTATAACCAGACTCGATGGCCTATAAGATGCACAATTCACAAAGCCTGAGAATCTACCAGTTAATATCAACTCATCTAAGCTGACCATTTTGAACTTTGGTAGATGCTTCTCATTATCATGCAACCAATGCATTTGTAATGTGCATCTTATTTGCAGCCAAATAAGGTATATTGATATATAAAAGTGTTCATTTTACTTGTTGGCAAACAAAAACATATTAACTACACATTGTAATGATTAATGATTCTCTTGCTATCAATTAGTCTGTTAACCTGTTTTGGTGGGAGGGGGGGTGGATTTCATTAAACTGTATATATTTGAAGTCTTTGCTGCTTCCCAGTCTTTCTCATGTGGATAACAAGAATTTGGTTGCATACACAAGCATATCAAAGAAGGGGAAGTAAAGGTGGAGGTGATGAGCTGTATCTGTTTCTTAAAATATATTCATTTATTTTTTAGAAATTCTGAAAAAAAAAAAATTCTTTTTTACTGCTTTTTTTTTTTTTTTTTCCTTAAATTTTCTCTTTACTGGGACAAGATCAAGGAATTCTAGTTGAAACTTCAAGAATCTGACTGTACAAAGGAGGTGTGGGGGGAGTGAAAGTCTACTTATCTACATTTTCCCTACCTTCAGCATTTCTGTTTTATTTCATCTCTTAATTTTTGTGAAATCCTATCAACCACTAGTACTTAGATGGGTGACCATTTGCGAATAACAAGTGATGTAATGGATAACACCCCGTAATTGGAGATTGGAGTGCCAAGTTCAAATTCTATTTGGGTTTGTTATATTCACTTATGTTCAAATGCTCTTGGGGAAAAGCATGAATCTACATATTCACTCCCCCAGCTATGGGTTAATTAGTGGGACTTGTATCAGTAAATCGTTATCTCCCAAAGCTTCTTACAAACTAGAAATATTTTCTGGCTTTAAATAACCAACAATATATATATATATATATATATATATATATATAAATAAACCCACCTAAAACACAGGGTTATCCCAAAAGATTATAATATGATAGCAAAATTGAATCACTACCAATAATGTGTTCAGCATACTCTCAGCTTTGTATTATTGTACCACTCTATGTTGAAATACCGGTTTCCATACAATCACCAAAGTTAAGCAATTTTCAGTCTGGTCAGTACCTAAATGGGTGACTGCTTGGGAATACCTGGTGCTTTAAGTTTGTATGTGCAGATGGTATGAATGATAATGGTTTGGAATTGTTAATTGGAGAGCCAAGTTCCAATTCCCGTTGGGTTTGTTATATTTACTTATGTGTCGTATGGCTTGGTGAAGGTATGACTATATCTCTCTCCCACCACTGAGTTAATTAGTAAATCACTAAATCATTATCTCACCTCAACCCACAAAAATTTTTACAGTCTAAAAATATGTTTTGGCTTTAAATAATCTGCAAAAGGTTAAGCTGTAGAAAAAGAATGGATGAACCAATGAAACCCCTATTCAAAACCTGAGAGGAAGTAGTGTCAGCTGTAAAGGGTATATGGTGATTTACTAAGCATAGCTTAGATATGGCATAATGCTGAAACTATAGGGCACTCAGTGAGGATCAAACTTGCTATTCAGTTGTAATTGATCTAGCCAGACATGTTTGCTAAGCATTTCATCATCCCAAAGGGATTTTCTTAGGCCAAAAGTATAGAGCTCCTAGTGATGATTGAACCTGTGACTCAGTCATCATTGATCTAGCGAGACAAGCTTGTTAACCATTACACCATGTCAAAGTAAGTGCTCAGCTGTAAAGGGTATGTGATTCTTGATCTCTCTTGTTTGGTTTTGGAGAATGTTCTGGAGAAGCAAAAATATTACGTTAAATGTAATTATCAATAAAGAATCCAATTATCATCTTTCAATTAATATTTCTCTATTTCTATCTTTCTTTCTTTTTTTTTTTTTTTTTTTTTCTTCCTGTTTGTCACCACATACCAATAGCAAATTTTATTGAAATTTCTGCTCAGTGTATTCCCTCCAGGACAATATATGCACCCTTCTGTATGTGACAGTACAAAGTTTTACACCATGAAAATGTCATTGATTCTCTTTTAGTTATTGAGAAAGCTTGCACCAGACATGGAATTCAGTGCCAAGATTTTTAAAAAAAAAAATTTTTCCTATGTCTTTTTGAACTGTACCCCCACAAATGTCATATTCAGACATTATATCAACTGTCTTGAAAATGTGAATCCCCTAAATGTGATATTTGTCAAATTCTGTTTCACATTTTTTTTTTTTTTTTTTTTTTTTTTATGAGCTGAAATAGCCTTTGTATGTATCAGCTTAAAAAAAACATTTTGTTTTCTTTCTTGAAGTTCTTTTGGAACTTGTTTGTTTACTAGGGTTTTTTTACCTGATCTTTCATACAAGAGTACCCTTGACAAGCTACAGAAATGAATGTTAGGTGTTGACAGCCTCCTGCCACTTGTTTTCCGCGCCCCCCCATTTGACTTTATTTTGTGCTGAGAGGTATCTCTTACTGTTGTAAAAGAGATACAGGTATGTAAAGTAATTGTAAAAGACCTTATTGAAACCAGACTAGTTCTGAAATTCTTATTGGAAGAAAAATGGATATTAAATGTTGCATGTTTATTTTATATTTTTTTTTTTTTTTTTTTTTTTTGATGTGAACTAAGAACTTGAACATAACCAATTAATGTAAAAAAAAAAAAAATATATATATATATATCTGAAGGTGTCATTAGTATATTAAATATGGCCAGTAGTGTGGTCTACATTTTGTGGTTCAGCAAGTGATATTTTATACAATTTGGAATAAGGTTGCACAATTTTTATAGCAATCATGTTTCTACTGAGATATATATATATATATATATATATATATATAAAAACAATGTATGTGTGATCCATTTTTAAATCTGTAGGGTTGTCCTATTCTGCTGCAAACTGCTCCCACCTGGTTTTGTCACTACCACCACAACCTTTATCACCAACACCTTATGACTATGGATTTGTTGGTAATATGAAAGAGAAAAAACAAAAGACAATTCTAAAAAAAAAAAATTTAAAATATGAAAAAAAAAAAAAAAAAAAAATTAATGAATTTAAGCAATACATCTTAAAACAAAAAAATGACTTGTTTGTTTTTCTTGTTTTTGTGTATTTTTTCTTCACATTTTTGTTCGCTACTTTTTCTTTTTTCTTTTTTCTTCATTTCTTCACTTCTTTCTTCAATTTTTCTTTTCTTTTTACTTTTCCTCCATTTTTTTTTTTTTTTTTTTTTTTTTTTTTTCTACACTGTTTCTTTTCAAACTGAAAAATAATTGGGCTTTATGGAAAACCTCAGTTTTTACTGAGGCAAAATAAGTGACCATTACCACCCAGCCACACCAAATAGGCCTCTCCTGAGGGTAAGCTATTAAGTTCATTAACTACCACTTGAAGAATTTTTTTTTTTTTTTTTTTTTTTTTTTTTTAAAAAGTACTATGCAAAAAATATTTCAAACAAATGTTTGAGGTAACAACTATTGACACACAACATGAGGTGAATTTAAAACTTATAAAATTTATTCAATTCAACGCACGAAAGATTTACTCAAATTTAGTACTTAAGGATAACCAATAACATGTAAATTAAACAACAAAATGAACAAGCCCTTCTACAAATATTATTGCATACAGTACTTAAATGCAACAATTTTTACAAATTATGCATTACATTAAGAGTAGTTTGCTAAGATGGTCCTCTGAAGTGATGAATATGGCATACTTTCTATAGAAAGAAAATTTGTTTGTTTTTCTTGTAACAGTGAAGATTTAGACTAACCACACCCGTTGAAGAATTTTCTTTGTGATGGGAGCAACTGGGTTGATTCAATTACTGTCAGTGCTAATGGGCAGTCTAAATACTTCTGCAACATTTTCCTGGGGTGACCTGAATTCCTCTAGTAGCATGTCAACTCTGATTAGCAATTCCAAGGTTTCCCTTATATACCATACTGGTAGGCTCCAAACATGGGCCTCACAGATCACTAAATTTGGAGGAAATCCTTTCATAGGTTCAGGAATAGTAGTAAACAAAAACTACTGTTATATTAACTGTGAGAACATGCCATAAACACGAAACATAAAGGGTGCGATGGATAAATCGTCGTCTAAATTATGCAAACATGAAAACGACACCATTTTACTAGATATTTTTTTGCGTAATTTTGGTAAATATATCTTGAAATACTAAAGAGTAAATTTATTCAATAAAATCACTATTGGATTCAACTTCAGACAACTTTGTAATCTCTACCACTCTTATTGATGTTTAAGTTGGTGAATACTGTCATAATTCTTGCCTTCAATTCATCTTTGGTGTTACAAGTTTTGTTGATCTCTCCCTTAACTGCGCCCCACACATAATCCAGAAGGCTGCAGTTTGGGGAGTTGGGTGGCCAGATGTAAGGGAATTGTCTAAGAGCTATAACTGGGTTTTCCTGCTTATGTGTCATGGTACAGTGTCCTGTTGCCAGACATAGTGCTGCCCTGTGTCAAGAGAGTGGCTGCTAGAAATCTCTCTCCTCTAGGCACTTTATGTAGGCATCTGTGTTGAGTCTGAGGCCCTGTGGAGGCATAACTTTGCCATCACTAGTGATCACTCCACATATTTTCTATTAGAATCATCCAACCCTTTCTGAATTCTCTGCACTGTCCTCAGATTGACACGCATATTTGGATTGGAGCTTCTGGCATGAATGCCAAGCAGTACAGCATGTTGTTTCCAAATTTCTGGCTGATTGAATTGCATCATGGTGCTTTTTTTTTTCTGCACAGACACTATCCAACTGACCTTACTATACTGTGCAGTTGGGGCATCTCAACGTGGTGTAATGGCTAGCAAGCTTGTCTCGCTAGAACAATTGCGACTGAGTAGTGAGTTCGGTCCTCACTGGGTGACCACTACTTTCGGCCTTGTGCCATATCTAAGCTATGCTTGGAAAATTAATATACTGTGCAGTTAACATAAACAAGCAATGCACATAAGTGAAATCAAAAATATAAAATGGCGACAATTTACCCTGTATTTTGTGAAATTTATAACTTGAGGGGATCTTCTCTCTAAAAGCTTGATGTAGGGTCATGTAACTTACATTTCTTATACAAAAAGGGGGCATGCATAGGAGGCTTGAGTAATTTTAGTGCCTGGTTCATATAAGCATAGGTTCCTACTTAAGACCTTTGTCTCTAGATATGGATACGTATGGCAGTAGCTACGTTTTTAAGTCTCAAATTGTATTTATCAGAAAAGCATTCTTCTGGGAATCTTTTCCACAAAGTAGAAGTTCATGGTAAGGATCTGTATAAGTGAATTTTCTCACTAATGGAATACAGTCACAATGAGGGTGGGTAGCCTCTGTGTATGCAGTGTAACGGATCTTAACTGTGTGGGTTAGAGTTGGTGGAAATAAGGAATGTAGCTTGTAAGAACATTTTTTCCTTGGAAATAAGCAAGAGAGTAGTGAGAAGCTTGCAACATTTTGGCTGTGGCAATACAGGAGATAGGGTGGAAAATAATTCATCACTTCTGAACTCTGCCAAGACAAAGATTTTACATGGAAGAAAAAAAAAAGTTACCTAAACAGGGTTTATTTGAATGAATCAAAGATTTTCAAACTTTATTGAAATTATTTTTTTTTTTAAATTATTAATTGAACTTATGTATTTGGCTTCTTTTTTCTTTCCTTTTTTTTATTTATTTATTTTTTTATTTTATTTATTTATTTATTTTTTTTTTTTTTTAAATCATTTCACCCCAAAGTCACTAAGATACAAGGGGTTACTGAGTGAGAGAATATAAGAAAAAAAATTAAAGAGAGAACAATAAAAGAACAGGAATTATGTGGACAGTAGATAACAATTGACATTGCATTTAAATTTTTGAAGATCAAAATTGAATAAGAAGCCAGAAGAGTGTTCCTTGAAGTGCGAGAAACGAAACTGTTAGCATTGAACTTAGTATTACATTTAGCCAATTCAACTGTAAAATGATGACACCTTGCAATCAATCTAGCATTTAAATTCCTAAAGGCTATATACAATAAAGCAGAATCCATGCAAGGATCTTGTGGTCCTGTTCTACGACATATCAATTTTCATGAAGTAGCATTCATATAAAATACAAAGCTGCAAATCTAGTACTGCATTTAATTTGC